AGAAGATCGGTGTGTGTCCAACCTGTCAGGCTAGCGCCTGCCGCATACTCACACCACACTCGTGATGCATCCCAATTCCGTAGCTCGGTCTCACCAATTCCGTAGCATCAGGTCATCACCCATCCCCGTATAGCATCGCCAGTCATCACCAATCCCCGTAGATCGGTATACACCAATCCCCCGTAGCATCGGTTTCATCCCCAATCCCTCGTGCATCGGCCATCACCAATCCCGATAGGCATCGGGTCGTCACAATCCGTAGCATCGTCATTACAATCCCCCTTAAGCATTGGTCATCACCAATCCCGTGCATCGTCTTCATCACCAATCCCCGTAGCATCAGGTCATCACCAATCTCCGTAGCATCGATCATCCACCAATCCCACGGTAGCATCGGTCATATCAATCCCACGTAGCATCGCGTCTCACCAATCCCCGTAGCATCGGTCATCACCATATCCCCGCTAGCCATCGGTTCATCTACCAATCCCGTGCTCGCGGTCATCACCAATCTTCCGTAGCATCGTCATCACAATCCCTCTGTAGCATCGGTCATCACCAATCCCGTAGCATCAGTCAATCCCAGTCCCCGTTTAGGCATCGGTCGTCACCCATTCCCGTAGCATCGGTCATCACTCAATCCCCGTAGCATCTGGTCATTACAATCACACGTAGCATCGCGTCATCACCAAATTCCCCGTAGGCATCGGTCTGCACATCCCCGTAGCCCGTTCATCACCAAATCCACCGTAGCATCGGTCATCACCAATCCCCGTAGCATCGGTCCATCAACCAATCCCCGTAGCATCGGTCATTCACCAATCCCCGTAGCATCGGTCATCACCAATCCACGGTAGCTATCGGTCATCACCAATCCCGTAGCAATTCGGTCATCACCAATCCCCGATAGCATCGGTCAAATCCCACATCCCCGTAGACGCGCGTTCATCACCAATCCCCGCTGCATCGGTCATCACCAATCCCCGTAGCATCGGTCCATCACCAATCCCGTAGCATCGGTCATCACCAATCCCCGTAGCATCAGGCCATCACCAATCCCCGTCAGATCGGTCATCACAATCCCACGTTAGATCGTCTCAGACACGTAGTCACAGCGGCGAGTTCCTACCTTCTCTCTCTCCTCGCTAATCGATTCCAGATTTCGTTAGACGTCGGACATTTAACAGTTACTATAGCTTACAGCTTCGCGAAGATCGCACGACGAACAAAAACAATTAAACCTCGGCGGAGGTCGTAGAAGCGTACGCGGGGGACGGCCTAGCTTAGTAGCACAGATTAATTTCTGTTGTCAAGGTAGAGCCGATATAGGCCGTGAGACGCGAGGAGTGAGGCGTGAGGCATTGAGACCGCGAGTGACGCCGAGGCAGCGGGAGCACGTGCTGTGCGGTGGCGCGTCGGCTGTGCATTCGTATGCAGGTGACCCCTTACGTCCGTTTGCGGCAGCTGTAGCTGTAAGGGCATTTGACTGTGTGTGTGTATGTGTGTGTGTGTGAGTGCGCGCGTGTGTGCGTGTGTGCATGCGTGTGTGAGTGCGTGTGTGTGCGCGTATGTATGCGTTTCCGATAGTTAGGAAATCAAGATAGAGGTACGAACGCAGTGATGTGACTTTTGCGCCAAAGCGCGACATAAACAACAAACAAAATCAGCACACAGACAAACAAAGGAACGAGCAGAATTTTTGAAAAATAAACGTCTTTTTTTTATTCTCTCCGCATATTTATTATTCATTATTCTCGTCTTTGACACAATATATCGTTCCGCATCGAACGTGTACAGGGTATACGGGGTATATACGCGTACGTCGTACGCGGCCGTACAGGGTATACGGGGTATATACGCGTACGTCGTACCCGGCCGTACGGGCCACCACGCGCGCGTGTCTAGTTATTTACACACATGCACCGCTCATGCGCGCGTGCACACGGTAGATACCGCTATATACGCATCTATATATATATATATATATATGTCTACTGCACAGTGCACAGTGTTAGTGCCAAGATACAATTATTTAAAATTCTAAGCCAATGCTCTAATAGCGCCAGACGGGGTAACCTTGTCAGCACAGGCGTGTAGCTATTTAGTGACGCAGTAAAGCAGCTCGCTTATATATATATCCTGTACCTGTGAGTCTGTGAGTCTGTGACAAACCCCATACCAGCAGCTGCAGGCACTGCTACATTATTACCGCTAGAGTTTAGCTCTAGCACTCTATATAGCTTCCTTCGGCCAGCGTTGGTAGCATGGATAGTAAATAATGCGGGCGTACGGAAACTATATATAAATGGCTAGCGTAAAATTCAGCTGATGCAATCGTGTACCGGTATTACACACACGCGCGACAGATGTACGGCAGCTGGTCACACAGCTGCTACAAACCCACGCAGCAGGAGGAACTGACACTTCTCAAACAACTGCGTGCACATAGCTCCCTTGTTGGAACAAGCAACGCACCAAGGATGTGTGCGCCACGTCTCATTCATTATCGGCCCCACCACTCCCAACCCACACCCCGCCCCGCCGGAAGTTGACAACGTCGTACAGGGAAAAATTACTGATTACTACCCCTTCTTTGCACAAACGTACAGTCAGCGAATGTAGGTCTGCAGCCGTAGGCAGGACTATATATACATTCCGTCTATCGAGCTGTTATGCTTAAAATGTGTCACAAGCAGTAACGTATAACTTTTTTCTCCAATGAGGGCCGATGCTACTTTCTTATGAGCTAGATAACAATGTGAATAATATCAAGCATATATATATATAATATATATAATAATAATATATATACGCGCGTCACGCGCATACAATAGCCTGCATGGCATAGACTAGTACGGGAGTATAGTTTGGTTCCGAATAGAACCACAAATGAAGGAGAAACGAAAATTTCACGTGCTCCCTCCCAGGCACCACTGAATAACAGCGGCAGCGGTTGCTCAATATTTCAAAAATTCTAATCAGCTTGGACTGCTGATAGGATGGCACTGTTGGATCAGATGAATTCTGCAGTACATGATTGCCCAGTAGCCGGGGGCGACCAGTTTTTCCCTCATGATATCAGGAGTAAGATAATATAGATTATCTTACTCCTCAAGATATCAGCACGCTAGCTGCACGAGCTAGAAGTCATAACAGATGGTGCACGAAGGAAGTTCAGTAGCTTACTGATAATGAAGACTGCATTAACAGTGGATGATGGTTAATACACTACTGATTATAAGGTTGATTTGGATTCTTTCTCATGGAAAATCCTCTAGCCCATAACAAAAATTCGATAGTTCATCCTCATTACATTGCAATGTGTATTTATGTAGCACTTTCGTGTGAGCCATGTTTGTGTTGAAGCCTTTAGACTTGCTGGTTTTAACAAATAATTAGTGAAATCTATTATATGCACCGCTTTCAAATGCTATAAAATTATCTCAAACTATCTGTGGTTGTCTACAATAAATCCCCCCCCCCATCTCATGCTGCACACATTAATTTACACAAATAAGTTCACGGAATCGCCTTCACGAAATACGAACTTTTGCATAATCCTGGAAAACGTTTCATTGGAGGAAACTTGCCGTAGCTGCTGTTTATGACCCATAAATTTCACAGCTTACAATCCCTGATTCCCTGGCATTAGCAAATTGTGCAGTTACAATACTTGGTTTTGGCTGGACACTGTTTCATAAGTACCCGATGACTAAATCACTAATTAAAGCTTCGAGAGAATGGAAATGAGATACTTTTGCATGATGCGATTCACTGATACTAACTATAACTGACATGCGATTTCAGTACATTATAGTGTAGCAACGCTAATGTCATTCCGCGAAAGCATCTAATACCAGCTCACACACATGCTAATTTTACACCATACCAGCTGGCTAGAATCAACGATCTATCTCCGGACTGCTGGACACATAAACAGCTACCACTCTTGCAGCTACTAATAGACAACCGGGGTGCAACCGCACACACACCGTTAGTTTTCACAGGGTTTATAGTTTCACGCTGCACACTAGCCACATATAGTTTGCCGTTATATAGCTTAACCCCACACATTACACATCTAAAGCTATCTATATTGCCTCTATTCTTAAATTGCCGCAATGTGCCATCGCTTTAACTTCACAACGACCAAGGCCATTGTTATAACTGAGACAACCTGACCCATTTAAACTCCATCTTTTTCTGGGACGATCAGCGATGCATGCAGATGGCAAGCATAACTTAGAACTAAGAATACCCTGCTCCCAATTCAGTTAAACAAATCGTGCATTTTTCATGTTGGCTTCACAGCAGACCTGCCCGAATCAAGACATGCAGATTGAACAACATGAATTCCTCTTATTTATGGGAGTTTCTACAAAAGCTGCATGTGCACAGCAAGCAGCTTGCTAGACTGCAGTTCTCTTGTTCTTTTAATTAAGAATACAAGAAAATGCTTGGGTTGTTGGCAATTTGTAGGGTTGGCCAGATAACCAGAAACACAGCCATACTTTTATTTGGCCTAACCTAAAACTGAATACTAAACTCCAGCTAAATAGTTATACAGAGTAAGGGGGTACACATAAAGTATATACAACTCTGGGCTCAGACTGGAACCTTCCCAAATTTATGAGACCCTGAATTGACAACTAGGGGTTCTATCTGGGACCAAATCAAAATGCATCTCAATAGAGTCAAAGACCCATTAGCTTTATGAGCTCTTGTCGGGGTGTTACAGTATATACAAGCGTCCAAGTTCTAGATATATCTTGATTTATTCAATCTGAGCTGTACAAATGGCACTCCACACACCTGCCAAATGTTAAGCCTCTAAATTTATGGTGCACATGCACTTTCTGAAATTTAAGCATAAAAAGAGCACCCACTACTATAGTACTAATCAGCACCCGAGTTCGCTCAAACACATGCCCCAGTATAACAAATGTCATTACAACATCTCACAAAACCTAAAAACTAAACAGGCAAATATAAGTACATACCCTTGCCCAAGTAGACGAGCCCAGCGACGATGATGATTACAAGAGCGATGAGCTTAGCAACGGTGAACACATTCTGAACTCGCATGGCCCAGCTGACGTGACTTGCGTTGATAAACGTCAAAAATGCTGCAAAACATATATATTATATCCTGATTATATCAATAAACCACTGGCATTAAAAGTCACGCAATTCCCAGAGCCTATTCCTATTAAAACGTGCATTGCTTCACCACACACAGCATGTGAAGCTTGAAGAGATAGAATTTAAGAATTTGACATTTAGAAGCAGGTCGTGTAGACATTCTACGAGTAACCAGCGCTGCTTCTCAATCCATGACAAGAAATACATTACTAAAGGTAGGCCTATGTCCTTACAATGTAGATACGCAGGGTTATACAGTACTTAGTTTCTCACAGATTGTAGATGTCAGTTTTCTATAAAATACACAATTATATATATTCTATGAGATGCGCAATTAAATAATATACTCACATATGCAAAGCACAGCAATGAGACTGCAGGCATTATCTGGAATGTCGCACCCAAGGGGGAAGAAAGGCTGTATGATATATTTGGCAAAAGTCAATGCTATTATAGCATTACTAGTTGGCATAATGATCACTAATGCTATCCACAGAAACAGGAATGCTGGCAGTGCCCCAAAGGCTTCATAGATGTACGCGTAGTCCCCTCCGGACTTTGGGATGGACGTGCCAAGTTCCGCATAGCACAACGCACCCAGCATGGCGACGACACCACATACGCCCCATACGACGAGTGCTGCACCGATAGACCCTGTCTCCGCGAGAACTCCTGTAGGCGACACAAAAATTCCGGAGCCGATTATGCAGCCGACGATGATTGTCACGCCGTTGTACAACGATATTTCCTTTTTCAGCTCAACGACGCCAGAATCGCCACCAGAGTTCTGATCATTGTCAGATTTTGCTGGCTTCTCTGGGTTCATACGTTCCAACTCGGGAACTCGCCCACGGTTAGCATTCGACTGATTCATATTGCTGTCCGTTGCCGCCATAGTTCTTTCTTCACTTCTCTAGTACCAAAAGTTGAACTTGAAGTTACAGCATCCACTACTGTGCAGTCAACAAGACTCTTCCCGCACTATAAATGGAAATAATACACAATATCAGTTTGAGACAAGCCTAGTAGTAGTAAAATAATAGAATGTCCCATTTAAAGTTACAATAATGGAAAGGAAGAACATTCATAATTACTACGTACAGCTTAGCTCTAGTACTATAGCCCGCTTACATTAACTGCCGCTGGCAGTTAACTGGCGCTTTCCAGCGGCAGTTAATTAATGTAAGCAGGCTATAGTACTAGAGCTACGTACAGCTGTGCTTATAATACTGTAATGATACACAAGTAGTACAAATAATATAGGGTGTCCTCTACAGGGTTCTCCCCAGGATGAAATTGAAACAGGGGGAGGGAGGGGGAAGGGGGAGGGAAGGGGAAAGGAGGGAAAGGAGAAGAGGAGAGGGAAACTAGGGGGCTGAGGGGCGTTTTGTTTTTACCAGGACCACTAATTAAAGCCGTGCACAATGCGCATGCCCAAACGCTAATTCTCTAGTAGCTAGGGACTACAAATACTTCGTGTCATGCTATCACCTACCGTTATTGACACAGAATAAACTCCTAGTCTCCTATTTCACTGGCGCGTTTGCTTAAAACCGCACCAGAAAGCGGTGGAGGGACTGGGCGCAAACGCCGACTGGGTTTCCACAAGAATAGATTTCAAGTGGGTACTGTGAGGCGTCAGAGT